AAATGAATAACAAGTGAGTTTTAAGGCTTTATTACCGGATGTCATAAAAGAAAATGCCTGTTTTTAAGAACATCAAACTCAGTTCTCTTAAACATGAACACCCTTCCACCCAGAAAAGGGTTGAAGTGAGTGTCTTGGCTCTGGTATTGCTCTGCACCCCTGGGTGACAGGACACCACGCTCTATATCTGTGCCCAGCAGGGGCCACTGGAAAGGTACCTCCAAGAGAAGTGCTGAAAAGCAATGTATTAGACATGGAATGACAATTGGAGTCTCAAAGTCAGCATGAGTTAAGGAGAGAAGAGGAACAGCCAGCAAGAACCAACAAGGGCCATAAACATTCCTTAGTATGTATTGTTTAATAAGTTGTTGCTTTTTTTAAAAAAATGAAATTGATTCCTGGAGGAAAGGTCACGGGGCATTCTTTCCTTCTGTGTTGCAGGTTCTCTGCTCAGGGTCAGCTCTGAAGAGGGGAACGAGCACACCCAGCGCCTTTCCACCCTGCTAGCACGTGCAGGCCTGCTTCGCATTCTTAAGCTCATTGCACATATTTAACTCCTGTCTCTAGTCCTTTACAGGCAGCTAAGCTGAAAGCACACAAGGGAACACACAACAGCCTTCAGCGTGATGAGCCAGCCTCAGGTGAATCAAACCTTTCGTTAAGAAAACTCAAGGTTTCCGACAACATATTGTATCCACATCCACCTAGTACAGTGAAGAGCCACAGCTCTCTATAAGGACAGAGATCCAAACTGAAAGCTGCAATAAGAACGGAGAAGATGCAGGACCCACACATTAAAATCCAGTCTTTTAAACAAAAGCCACACTAACTCAGCTAGTTTTTTAAGTTGATACTAACCATACTTACCAGTCAGAATGTTGCCATAAAGGCAGAGGACGTCTTCAGAAATTGACACTTATTGTCTACAAGCGTCTACAAGTGTCCACAAGCACACAAAAAGTGTAGTATGCTGCCTGCCCCCACACCATAGCACAAAGCAGGTACGCTTACTGAGTTAGACAAGAACAATAAATAGACGGAGCTGGGATTGTCTGGATTAGCTGTTGCCTGCTGGAAACGAATTCCCTCTGGCTTTGGTTCTTACAAAGTAGCACTCCCATTTCTGCAGCTATAGATACTACTTCTAAGTCAAGGGCCAGAAAAGCAGGTAAAAGGATGTATGAGCAGATCAACACAGATTTGTATACCCAGCATACATGCTTTTGATAACGAAATGGCAGCACCATCATCAAATGTCACTATGCAGCACAACGCTCAAGCCAATGTGCTGAGATTTGCTATTTTTATACAGTTAACAATAATAAACTATTTTTTAAAGTCCATCAAGGAAGAATTTCCCCAATGCAAAAATGATTATAGAATCCTGTCACTAATTATGGCAGTAACTAGTTTTGGGTCACTCAATACACGCCTGATGTACTGTAGGAACCCAATAGACTTTGAGTGAAGGCAAGAAACCATTGGAAGACAGACGACACGTTCTCTCAAGTTGTTGGAACCATTCCTATTTATTTTACAACAAAGACACACTGAACACATGTTAGGTCATACTAGGTGAGGGAACAGAAGCACAAATTTTTGAAACAGAAAACCGCGAGGAAGCGTTTCATGGATTTTTATTATTGTTCAAGGTTTTATCAATAGAGTTCTGAATATTTTCCTAAAGGTTCAGTAGAAGTTAAACATTTAAATTTGCCAAGGTGTTTAGACAAGTATAATGTAAGGTCAGCTCCCTTAGTTTTTCAGTTGCATGGTGAAGCATTCCTGCATTCCTCTTTTTTTTTTTTTTTTTTTTGGTTTTTTGAGACAGAGTCTCTCTGCAGCTTTGGAGCCTGTCCTGGAACTAGCTCTTGTAGACCAGGCTGGCCTTGAACTCACAGAGATCCACCTGCCTCTGCTTCCTGAGTGAGTTCTGGGATTAAAAGTATGCGCGGCCACCACCACCCGGCCACCACCACCCGGCCACCACCACCCGGCTGTGAAGCATTCCTTTGGCACATAGTGTCAAACATGAAAGCTTAGAAACACATTCAACTGAAAAATTTCCTTTTGTTCTAAATATTTGGCATCCACGGAGTCATCTCTTAAGAAACCAGACTTCAAGAACATGTTCATACTATATCTGGGGGAAAACAAAGCAAACAGCAGCATGAGAGTGTTTTCCAGATTCTGTCCTGAAAGCTGTCCCTGAAAGGCAGCCAGATAAAACCAGGAGATGGCTCTGAACTCCCCCAGTCTCCCACCACCCCCACCGCTGCCACACACACAACAGGAGCCAACAAATGTAACAAAAAAGAGCCACATGAAGTCTGTTAGACAGTTACCAGAGAAAATCTTAAGGGAAGAACATTTGGAAAAAGGAGAAAAGGCCACTTACCAGTAGGGTCTCTGGCTAAGAGAGGCAGAAGAAATAACACTGACCTGAACTAAAAGATAGAAGAACACAAAAGGCGGGCACTGAGTCACCTAGCAGGGAGAAGAGGCAAATGGCTCTGCAAAAGTGAGTGGGTACCAGGGAGGAAACCCCAGCTCCAAAACTCTCCAGATATGAGGGCTCAAGGGGCCCAAAGATTGGAAATATAACAACAACAAAAATCAACAAATTATCACTTTTTTTCTTTCTTTCTTTTGGTTTTTCGAGACAATATTTCTTTGTAGCTTTGGAGCCTGTCCTGGAACTACCCTACCTCTGCCTCCCGAGTGCTAGGATTTAAGGCCTGCATAACCACCGCCCGGCCGAATTCTCAGACATTCAAAATGCCCACAGCTACCATATTGCCTTCCTCGCTGTCATTCCTCTTTCCAGACTCTTAACTCTAAACCTATCGACAAAAACTGGAGACTGGAATCTGGGCTTTGCTGACCAAGTGAAGGTCAGGATTCTGCAGACTGAATCTCTGCAGCTACCACGACGCTCTAGTATAATTGATCTTCAAGTTCGGGTCACATCCCAAAAGATTAAAATGCCTTAAGGGAAATGGCCCTCACTTATCAAGAGACAGAGGGAAAGAGAGTGGCGAGCAAAGGAGAAAGCTGAAAAAAATGCAAACACATGTAATGCTGCCTCCAAGATTCACTCCTGGACAGTCGCCAGCTAGCAACTCTTTAGCATAAGGCAAGGGAAGAAATGTTCCTCTGAGCCGATGTATCACTTCTTCATGCTACTTTGGTGCGATCAGAAGAAAAAAAAAGATCGAACAGCACAAAAGGCATATAAAACAATAGGGTATTCTTCACCTGCACAGTCCCTAGCCAGAGACAACAAATAAAATGCTTCGCTTTACTGTGAAGATAAATATTAATATGGAGGTAGAAAAGAAAACCAAGTCTTAAAAGAATGATGTTAGAGGCCAGACATACTTAACTACACGGCCCAAGCCCTAGATTCTGATAGTTCCATTCTCGCGAAGAACTGATCCACATGGATCTAATTCTTCAGTCCCAAAAGAGTCGTGACCTAAGATTTTTGAAGGTCAAAAGTCTTACAGTTTAACATTTGAATCGGATTAACTCTTTTACGTCTGGCATGTAGGCAGCTTCCACTTTGAGAGCCATCTACGGCCGTTCGACTTTTGTTGAGCATATTTCTTTGAAATAACTACAAGGTTACCTTACACCACATACTGCATGTATGCGACAAGAGAAGGTGGAATAGACTAGTCGAAGCCACGACCTGGAGCGAAGGTCTTAAGGTAATCAAGGCTTGAAGGCTTTGTGAAACGGGATTAAGAGGCACAGAACAACTCAAGCGCTTAATGCTGCACCCATTTACTTTAAGTCAGCAATACAAACTCTCCCACGCCCAAGTGGGTCATTTTACCTGTCGTACCAGATCCAGAGCAGTTTGGGAAAAGACTTCTAGCGATCTGAGCCTTGTTCCAAATTTAAACCAAGATTCCCAAGGGAGCGAAAGGAGACTTCGGGGGACCACTCCGTGTACAGGGTGTTGAGGCAGGCTGCCCTCCCGGAGAGAAATACTGAGGGTCCCCCGGAACTAAAGTGACTGTGGACACTAGCGGAGCCCCAGTGTCAGGCCCTATCCCGAGTTCTACGACCCGCGTGGCCGCCGTGGATCATGCACGCCTCGAGTGCGAGTCAGCCAGCGGCACCGGAGACAGACTAGAAGAGGAGGGTGGCAGCCCAGGGTGCAGCCCGGAGGACGAGGGTCCGAGGCTGCAGCCCCTGCCAGGAGTACCCGGACGCTCAGCTCCCCAGTCTCCGGAGCGCGGCCTCTCCTCCGGGCAGCTGCGCGCAGCTGGACGCGGCCTGGACGCCCGCGCCCCACCGCTTCCCCTCTGGCCCCGGCGCACTCTCTGCAACTTACTGGGGCAGCGCCCGGGCCGCGCGACGGGGACGGGGACCGGGACAGGGACCGGCGAGCGAGCGGCTGCAGCGCGCTGGGGATCCCACGCGGGAGAAGGCTAGATGAGCGGCCGCCACCTTCCAGGTCCGCGCAGACAGG